CCAGTCCATGTCACAGCGCGCTCGCTTGTCACCCCATCGCACTGCCATAATCATTTATGTGGCGGCACTGGGGGCCAGCGTGATGCAAACACGTATATAAGTTAGGGGCGCACACCGCCTCGCCCTAGAACTTCTGCACCTCGTTAGCATACATAGGGCACAGACCCTCGTTACCTCCCAACCGATTTATTTGCTCTTACAATCCTCCCTTCAAATACTGCCGCTCTCTCCAACCTCTATTTTTGTACTCCGTACATCTATTCTCGAAAAGAGCACCTGCTGTTCCAGAATGTGTATCGCTATCATCACTACTGAGCATCCTCAGTACCCACTCATTCTTCTGAATAATCGAGATGTAAATCTCTTCTTCACTCGAATATTTTCCATCTATGCTAATGTTTGATGTAGGAGTATCTGCACCGCCCAACACATGAAGCAACATGGTGGCCAGCGCCAGATGGCCAGGTTCTTGGAGGCTACGATCTACATCGCCCGGCACATGGGACTTGGTTAGGAGTCACTCAGCAAGGACGAGTCGCAGTGCTCACCAACTATCGCGAGGAGAATGAGGAGATTGTCATCGGTGCCCGAAGCAGAGGACTCATTCCAAATGCATGGCTGAAGTCAGACCCGAACGCGCGCGAGTTGCCCGAGGAGTTTGCGCAGCGGATGATAGAAGAGGACGGTGTGAAAGGAGTCGGGGGCTTTAGCTTGTGCTATGGGATGATGCAAGACGTTGTCAAGAGCGGAAATAATGGGCTTGCTATCATTTCCAATCGCACACCAGACATCGAAGGCGTTATACGTCTTGCTAGCACATCTGGAGAGACCCATGCACTTAGCAACGCTGCCTACGGGGATCGATCATGGCCTAAGGTAGTGAACGGAGAGAAATGGACCAAGGAAGCGATCAAGGCCAGCATAGCGAAGGACGAGAGCCAGGACCAGTTACTCGACCGGTTGTTCAGCGTTCTTAGCACGGACACAATGCCAGCAAAGAAAGAGAACGAGGAGTGGGACATGTACTTGAACCAGCTTCGGCACAGCATATTCGTCCCTTCGATCGGGCGAGATCACCTCGACGAGATGAACATGCCGCCGCACGAGATTGGCGACGTTGTGAAGCAAAAGGCCGCTGACGCGACAAGCGGTTGTTACGGTACCCAGAAGCAGATCGTCATCCTGGTCGACAAAGATGGAAAAGTATCCTACACTGAGCGGACGCTCTACGACAACGAGGCCAAGCCAATGGAGAATGGGAAGAGTGAAAGGAAGTTCGAGTTTCAGGTGGAGGGTTGGTAGGCTTGTGGCGGATGGAGGGTAAAAGACATTGCCCAAGCTAAGTTTCAATGGTTGAGATCGTAGTATTGCTCACAATCAGGTTTGGAACGCGAATTGGCTTGTCCAATCCTATTGCAATGTCTTATTCCGCTAGCGTTGTGCAAGTGAAGAGTCTGTCTTGATGGGTGAAGAAGGTAATGTGTAGCAGTGCCGCACACAAGCATTCACTGCTCTTTTCCTATTTCACACAACCGCTACCAAGTACGTATAGAGCTGATAAGTAAACCCGCACGAAGCTAGAGGTTGCGGAGGGCAAATCTCGTTGCCCACCGATCACCTCTTCCCTCCACCACTCCACCACACCACCACCCTCATACCGCTGCCACCAAGACACCATCAACTAACAGCTACTAGCCATGTGCCGCGTCTCCTGGCTTCAATGGCTTTGCGGCCACAAGACGTGTGTTGGCACTGAGCCGTGCGGCGGAGACCAGCAATCACGGACTCACGCCGTCGACACTCGCACAAGGACCTCAAACCACCATTGGTGTGATGAGTGCCGAGCGACTGGAGACAAAATCCCAGTTAACCTCAACGCTGTCCGACCGCCGCGTCATAATCTCAAGGTCAAGCTGGTCATGAACAATGGCCAAATGATGTTCATCCCGCGAACTGAAGCGGAAAGAGAACACAACTCGCTGCTTCTGCGGCCCACGACCGGAACGGGTAGCAGAACCACTCCGCAGAACCCACCTCTCAATCCAATGGCAGCCCCCTTCGTTTCGCCCACCTATCAGGGAGGATCAGGTCGTGGGCAGGGACAGTCACCGGGCCAAGCTCAGCTCGCACACTCGGGCACCACGTCGGATTCTCCAGGAACAACGGCCAACGAACCGAACATGTCAACTCTACCGCAATCTTCTCGCCGCGTTGCTGGTCCGCCGCCTCCTGGCTACTTGTTTGGACTTGCACCGTCAGAACTTGCACCACCGAAACGCGTTGGTCAGCAGTAGCTCGACTCAAGCCGCTCTATCAAAACTACGGGGGAAACAAGGTGCAGATGGGGAAGCGAGTTACAAGTCAGTCTACCAATGTGCTGTTCTTGGGAGCTCGATACGATTAGTGGATGGTGGCTTCAAAGCTGGGGAAAAACAAGGAGTGGATGATTGAACAGGCTGCTTGATTGCCTAGGACTGCGGATGGCGTATGCGGCTATGATACCATTTGATGAATTTCCCAGACCGAAATGATACATATAGTCCTCGCTGGGCTTTCAAGCTTGTGTGCCCTCATACGTGCCATGATGATGTAGGAGTGAGTACCGTACGGACTACCTAAGCACACTTTATGAAAGAGGCTGGTCGAATGTAGCATTAGATAAACGAACCATATGTACAAGGCTCCTGAAATGATGCTCTATCTATTTGGTTGATTATATTTCACACATTTTTGTTCTATGTAGCAGCCTGCAGGCATGGATACCCACTCTAGCCGCTCACGGACTAGCGCTCTGCTAGTGACGTCGGCACAGCTTCCATCAACAACCCTCCGAGCTCCGCACCCGTACGCCTACACGCCCGTTTGCCTCCCCAACCACAAAGGTTTAGCCACCTACTCTCTATTCTTCCTCGCTGGTAGCCTACGAAACCCTGTACTCGTCTCACCATGGCGTCTCTCCCTCCGCAGCGGCCCGCGGCATTCCCACGGCCTTCTCCATCTGCTGCAGACTCATCCCCGGCGCAAGAGCAACCGGCGCGCACGAGCAGCTTCTCGGCCACGTCTGTTGACTCTGAGACTCTTCTTCTGGACTCACCATCCTCACAAACATCACATCCCGCCCAAGCAGCCGACAAGGCCCCGCCGACCCAGCAAGAAGAACCGCAAGGAGAACTGCAAGAAGACGCCGAACCCCGCAAGTGCTGGATATGTTTTACCGATGAAACCGAGGACGATGAGACGACATCGGAATGGCGCTCACCATGCCCATGTGTACTGGTCGCGCATGAGAAATGCCTGCTGGACTGGATTGCGGATATGGAGGCACCGACGGCGCGGCGGCGAGCAGGTGGAAAGCCTGGCAAGATATTGTGTCCACAATGCAAGTCTGAGATACGGCTCGAGCGACCGCAGAGCATCGTGGTGGATACTGTGAGATCGGCGGAACGATGGGTGGATTCGGCGCTGGTGCCGGGATGCATCTTCGCGATCGCGACGGCGACTTACACCACTTTTTCGTTGGCCGGGACGCATACTATCTACGAGATCTTTGGAACCGAGGATGCGCTTCAAATACTGCGGCCTCTGTACCAACCTCCCAACGCGAAGGGGTCGACGGTGGCGTTGTGGCTCATCGATCATCTGCGCCGCAACTGGAGACTCGACCTCGGATTGCCACTGATCCCCTTTACGCTGATTATGAGCAGGACAACCTTGGTGGACCCATTTCTCCCGTTTTTGCCGCTCCCATTCGTTGCGGGCTCGGGACAAGCCCACGACCAATTCTTGCAGTTCTCCTGGCCTCCGAGCGCTGCCTTCACGATCGCATTATTGCCCTACATCCGAGGGATTTATAACGGATACTACAAGCGAGTTTGGGCGCCACGCGAAAAACGTTGGCTGAAACAAATCCAGCCTCGCGCTGGCGCCGACGATGCGGACGATCGCGACCCACAAATTCCTATCGAAGACGAGAATGAGGTACAAGAAGAAGAAGGCCATGACGATGATGATGATGATGATAACAACGTCGAAGAAATTGATCGGATTGAAGTTGCATTCGACCTGGACATCTTTGCGAATTGGAACAATGGCGGCGTGGCAGACAATCAAGCTGCGCTCGAGAATCCTCCGGTCCCGATCGCTAGAGGTCCTGCGCATCCGCTAGACGCCCCGCCTGTCGACGATGACGATGACCACGAAGACGACCACGACGACCACGAGCCCCCGCCTCTCGTCGATGCGCAAGGCCCCGAGCATAATCACGACCACGACCACGAAGACGGAGCAGCGCCTGCACCGAATGTCCCCCGACAACCTGCCCGCCCCCGCCGTCGGCGTGTCCGACCCGAGGATGGCATCGGCTGGTCATCCTCCAGCCTCTCCGACACGATTTTCGGTGCCCTTATCTTCCCCTCCATAGCGGCTGCCGTGGGCGAAGCGCTCAGGCACGCTCTACCAAAGTCATGGGTCACACTGCCTGCTTATGGCAAACAAACAGGCTTTCTACAAGCGCGCTGGGGACGGAGTATACTGGGTGGCTGTCTGTTCGTCGGGGTTAAGGATGCGGTGCTGCTCTACGTTCGGTGGAAGATGGCGCAGAATCATCGGAAGCGGACAGTGCTGGATTATGAGCATAGTAAAGGCAAGCAGAAGAAAGGAGCAGGGAGGGTATAAGCTGTGGCAAGGTGATTCTCTAGTGCTCTAGCTGCGACTGCAAGTGCTGCGATTCGGCAGCGACATGGACCACTTTTTCCGCATAGAGTAGGACAGCGAGGTGTAGTGCCCAACAAGCTACATTACTCTTAGTATTGAATTATATACCACACTCAATTCATTGGAAATAACAAAAAAAACCTTGCTACTTTTTCGTCCCTTGTCCTGTCTTTGTAGCTACCTACGCTGTCTGACCCAAAATAGGATCAATCCGTAGCCCCTCCCCCATGCACCTGCTTTCTCCTACAGCCACATGCAAAAGAAATTGCAAAAAAATCAGATACTGCTGGCGGTGCTGGGAATCGAACCCAGGCTGGCACGGATTTGTGTGTTCCACAACGTGACGTCATACCACTAGACCACACCACCTTATCTTGCTCTTTGCTTGATTTGATGGAAGATTCTCTAATTTGAAAATAATTATAGATGTGTGTTCGACTGCTCGCAAGCAAATTTTGCGCTGATGTGGGGCAGTGGGGATCCGTGCGCTCGGCTAGTTATCCTAGGCTGATTGCCCGCACCCGCTAAGGTTGTTACTTTCGACTTTCGACTCCCTCACACTACTATACTGCAATCCACGCGGCCCATTTGGGCGTAACTTTCGCTCAGATTAGTCTTGAATGAGAGACCTTTAGCAAATTTATAAGCCCGCCAATAGAACCAGCAGTCTACTATAAAGTCCGCAGCTCGATAGTGGCGCTTGCTAGAAACTTTCCTAGCTAGCAAATCGCTTGCTTATGGCACAACCAGGTATTATATTTTTTAATTTTTTCATCGAACGAGCAAACCATACTTACGAATTGAAAAGCAGAATCATCACGCCGACGCACCCGTGGAGCAGTCAAGTCTTACCGCGTAGATCAACTCTACAACTTTCTCGAAGAAAGCTCGGGGGGTGAAGAGCGTTCGGGATCAGACGATGAAGACGCACGGCTAGAAGATGCACCAGATGAAGGGGACGTCTTTGAGCCTCTTGAAGAGGAGGATCAAGAAGATGAGTTCGTGGACGAGGGTGAGGCCAGGAGTGATGAGGACGATGGAGAGGCCTGGTCCAACGCTGGTGAAGACGGTGCGGTGCCACGCGGTGAATCTATCATTGAAGTCGACTATTCCGACAAAGAGGAGGATGATGCCGCTACCAAACCCAAGAAAAAAGGCAGACCCAAGAAGGTTTCGATTCGTCCTGTAGTTCCCACACCCCAGCCCGTTAATCAGTTCAACTCCGGTGTCAGCGGCTTGCCCGCCAAGCGAACTACTACTACTGCCAACACAGTCCGGACACCTTGGTCGGCTATCAACAAAGAGCATGCACGAGGCGTTGAAGAGTGGGGCCGTAGTGGCCGTCTGAATGACCGCTGGGTGGATTTGTTTGGGCCGGATACTAATGACATAGGGGAAGTGTTTCGTACGAGGGACTATTGGATAAACCAGGAGACGCTACCGAGTAAACAAGAGAACCATCTCCATCGGACATTTTATCAACCAAAAGATGCTAGAGAGCGAGAGATTGCCAGCACGAGGAAGTGGTATGAGCGCTTTGGACGGGACGCCTTCGCGGCAGGGCAGAAGAGCAAAGAGTTAGGAGACAGGGGATCTGCTTATCTAGTCAATACAGATCCTGCGACGCTGAATCTCATCATGGGTAACAACAACAACCCGACGATGCTAACGATGAGTCAAAGAGCGCCCGTCTCGCTCGCCGAATTATTCCCAGCACAGCCGTCTGTGGCTCGGAGTAGCCGACGAGGCTGGGTCATCAACCTAGGATCCAAGGTCATGGAGGCGCAGTGGGCTCCCAACGAGCATGGTAGCACTCAGTATCTCGCCGTTTCTGTTGAGCAAAAGGATCCTACTTCACGTTATAAACCTATGGAAAGCGCCAAGGCTCCAGCTTTCATTGCCTCGAAACAATTCCCGGCATCTATCCAAATCTGGGCCTTTGATACGCTGCAGGGAGGGTCTGCGCGGCTAGACTTGGTTATATGTACAGATTGGGGCATGCCGAGGCAGCTTAGGTGGTGTCCCATTGCTGCTACAGATAAAGTCGGGTCTGAGGATGGACGCGGTATGGTTCATCTTGGTCTGCTCGCTGGACTCTGGACGGACGGTCGAGTTAGAATATTGGACATTGCGTTCCAGAAGCCAAAACCAGGTCAAACTCCCTGCCATCGATATATACACTACTCAAAGGCCGCCTTCGACATTCACATCCCCGGCACGATTCCAAGCTGTCTTCACTGGCTCTCTGGTACTTCGCTCGCCGTGGCGAGTGCGGGAGGCACTCTGGCGATTTGGACTCTGACACGACCCGAAACGTTTCCAGCTTCCACCTCGGCACAGTCTAGGTATAATGCACGCCCTTGGTTCTACAAGCGAGTAGGGTGCACATACGTCCTAACCCTTTCCTCCGGCTGGCCCTCCCGTCCCTCCTTTGTCTCCATCACTACCGGCGACGGCTACTCCCGCCTCTTCGACCTGCGCTCCCCAACACTAGACAACTGCTCCACCCCGCGCGGCCGCATGCTCGTCAACACGCAAGCCTGGCATGAGCACTCGCAATCTTTCATCATGCCCGAGGAGAACTACAATGTCCGCAATAACACAATCCGCCGCTACTATGCCAGCATGGGCACCCTGCGGCTAGAAAGTCCGGTGGTGCGTTGTGCAACGAGTCCAGTGCATCCGGGTGTGCTTATAGGAGGCGCAGATGGATCCGTGATGACGGGTAATCCATTGGGTAGAGTGCTCAACTACAAAGACAGGCCGTGGCAGCAGATTTGGTTTGCGCATAGCTGGAGGGGACCACTAGATCAACTCGCGCTCCCGGCGCCCAACGACAACGACGAGGACGATGACGAGAACGAGGATGAGGATGAGGATGAGGACACTTCCTCGAACCCAGACACACCCACCGACCCGACATCCGAAGCCCCTGCCCCTGCCCGGGCCCGTCCAACCAGTCCAATCCGTCCATTCCGCGAAGCCCTCGACACCTTACCGCGCCTCAACCCTCTCGAACCCTGCACCCGCATGGTCGAGGGCTTCCGCCTCCATCAGGCCAGCCTCCTGGCACCGAGTGAATCGAAAACGTACCTAGAGGGCGGGAAGCTCATTACCATCTTCGAGGAGCGCTCGGCGGTTACGGCGTTGACGTGGAATCCGAATTTGAAGTATGGGTCGTGGGCGGCTGCGGGGTTGGGGAGTGGATTGCTGAGGGTGGAGGATGTGGGTGTGTAAGGGGAGGGCGGTGGAGGTTGTATGGTGGGGAGTGTATGAGTATGGATATGGAAAGACGGACTTTGATAGGAGTCCTGAGAAGTAGCAAGGAAAAGTACATGGGATGTATACTCCAAGCTATGCAGTGCAATGCTGAAGCTAAGTTTCTAACTAAGGGGGGTATCTCATCAATGACAAACCAAGTCATGCAGAATCTAAACACCGAGACAATGCTAACGAACCAAACCGCCCAAGATCTCGCCATTACTCTTTCTTCTTCCCGCTCTCGTCCCGCTGCTATTCATATGCACGCTTATGGGCTTCTTGTTGTTTACGTTAGCAACCACAGAGAAATGAGGATCCGGATCTGCATCGCTAGAATGTTCGCCTTGCCTAAGAAGCCACACTTGTTAGTTCACTGTCAATATATAGAGAGACTCGGCTTTAAATACCTCAGGATGACATGTTCTGTATTCTTGGGAAGCTTGTCTTCGTTATCCTTGACGAGGCTGGGAATTTCTTCTCCCATTTTCTTGGCCGTCTCTTCGCTGCGCGTGAATTTGTTAGTTTCCGTGGCTACTGAGATGGGGATCTCTCGACCGCTAGCGAGCTTGACGGTACCGACACGCACGCTAGCATATATGGTGTGGAAAACATGGCGGATTCGTGGCATGGTTGTCGGGGGTGAGTATTATCGGGAAGATATTGTAGTTTAGCTGAGGGACTGGAGGACGGTTGATTGCTTCTGTGCAATTCTGGAGACTTTAGTATGTGGAAGTTTGATAGTATGGTTGTGAGAACTAGAGGACTGGCCCAGTCGAACTTCTGTATTTATGTAGCTTGCTGGGACATGAGGCAGCCGTCACAGAAATGGACTGCTCTAGGGAGCAAACCATGTGCTCCATATTCGGTACAGGCAGCCGTGACAGTGCACAATAAGGTGCTATTCACACAATCTATATATTGAAGGAACTATAGCAGTCGTTCGCCATATGCCTGGAATTTGACCAGAACATAGGACTATCTTCTATTAGCCGTCCTTACTGTTGTTTTGTGCCTCTATTTAAGTAATATACAACGCGAAAAATACTATAGTACTTTCTGGAAGTTCATAGAGAGTTTCCAACTTGCACTACTTTGGAATACGGAAGCTTCTAAAAAGCGTCCACTTTCTAGCATGCAATAGCTCTGAATTACTGAGACGCAGGCTGACTGACCTTTTGATAGTATAGAATATGTAGCTAAGAATAAAGTACTGCGGTAAAAACATGATGCTCCTTTTCTCTTGATCATAAGCGGTGGGAGCGGGTGAGCTAACCGTTCTGGATATAGCGCGAGGGTCCGGGGGCAATTGCGTAGGAAAAGCGCGCTTACACCACCATCTCGCACTCAAATTGACCCTGATTGCTTCCATCATTATATCAAACTCTCTGCATCGCCGCCATGGCGGTTTGCCTGATTAAACAAACCGCAACAAAGACCGCGGAATTGCTCATAGGGCAGACGCTGCGAGGCAGAGCCGGTAGCTACGTCCTGACGAAACAACTTGAAGACTCTGTGTGGATCGCAAAGTAGGTGCGCTTCTTCTGGGCATGCTTTCCGACGTGTTAAATTGCCACGCAGAGATTCCCAGCGGGAGAACGTCATCGTCAAAAGCGTGCGACATTGGCGTTTGCAAAATGAACGTGATGTGCTCAGGCGCTTTCAACATCGGACTGCGTACCTCCGCCCACTTATTGACGAAATAGAGAATCCAAGCGATCCACCGGCTATAGTCCTACGCTGGCTGGATGATGACATGTTAAACGCATCAAATGCAAAGCGTCTGACCCGACCCGAAGTCAAGCATGTTGCGAAAGGAGTATTGGAAGCCTTGCGAGTCATGCATGAAGATGGATGTGTTCACGCCGGTGAGATTTGACTATATGCTTTGACTTCGGATGGTTAGGTTACTGACTAGAATGAGATGTCAAACCAAAGAACATCCTGGTGAACTATGGCAAGAGCGGATCGAGGTTTCAAGAAGTACAGCTAGCAGACTTAGGAGGCTCCGTAAGCGAAGACTCCGAGTATGCGAAAGAGGGAGAAGAAATGGGTACTCCGATCTTCAGAAGCCCGGAGGCTCAACTACAGCTTCAATGGGGACCACCAAC